AAAAACGAAACTTTTATCACTTCGTTGTCCGTCTGTCTGTCTGTCAAGACCCTTTTTTTTACAGGAACATATGAGAAAGTGGAAGAAGAAGAGGAAGAGATATACGAAGTTATTAACGTTCACAAGTTGAAGTCAGCGACACCCAATCTTAGGGTCATCAACCTTTATGGAATTAATTTCGTTGATGACTCACATATAGATGCGTTCAGTTCAAACTGCATACAGGTATTTTAATATTACAATACTAGCTGTCGCCCGCGACTCCGTACGCGCGGAATGAAAAACACTTAATACCAAACTTCAGTAAGATCCATACAGCCATTCTGGAGATACCTTCAAAAAACATCGATCCATCTAAAAATTCGCATTTATTAATATAAAATTAAGAAATAAGATTTAGAAACGCAACGATAAGAGATTTCTAATGATTTACACATTATTTTGTCAGTCTTTTGACATATGGTTAAATCTGGTGTGTAGAAAATAATTCGAAGAAAAAACCCTCTTGTTGAGAGATTTTTGACGAAATTTTACATCATACTAACATTATAAATGTGAAAGTTTAGATGGATGGATGAATGATATTACGTATCTAAAACACGGCTTAAGGGATCTTGCTGAAATTTTGTGTAGATGTAGCACATAGTCTTGAAGAAAACAGGCTACTTATTAAGTTTTTTAATACCGCGCGGACAGAGTCGTGGGCGACAGCTAGTCCTATTATAATGTATATATGTATTGTTAAAATCCAAACTTGGCATGTTTATTCAAAAAAATATCTTTATGTAGAAAGTTGTAAGGTGTTTTTTATGTTTAGTTGGAGTGCCTTGCGGTGAACTACTGCAACAAGGTGACTGGGTCCACTATGAAGACGCTATTCCAGCGCTCGCGTCGACTGACGTGTCTACTGATGAACGGATGTAGTTAGTACATCTCTTTTAAATTTTATGATAATTTAAAAACTTTAATGTCAAATTCCATAAATGGCGGCCATTATTTTTTTTTTTGGATATTTTGTGGAAATTGCGTCATAAAATGAAGTGATAATTTACAATATAAATAGCTATTGTGAGAAAAAGTGTTGTGCTGGTAATTCTCTGGCACTCTTTTGTTTTAAGTAAAAATATGCATTTTGTCTATGGTTAAATTATTACAAACTAGCTGTCGCCCGCGACTCCCTCCGCACGGAATTTAAAACAAACAAGATTATGTTCTAAACATTTATCGAAATCCGTTCAGCCGTTTTAAGATATCTTCAAACATCCATCTAAACATTCGCATTTATAATATTAGTAAGAAGTAAGATTACGATCTGCATCCTACTTTCTAGAATGACATAGATTAAGTTAAGCAAAATAATAAAATTGTCTGCCATTGCCCAGGTCTACAATCAGAGTACGTGATGCAAGTGGAATGGGAGAAGTCATCTATACAAGAGCTGGATGTAACCGCAACAGACTTGTCTACGGAATGCCTCATAGATATGCTGACACGTATCCCTGGGCTACGGTTCCTTAGCGCGGGACAGATTAATGGGTTCAATGATTCCGTGCTTAAAGCCTGGATGGAAGCGGGTACTGCCAGGTATGCAATAAAATACATACAGTATGATTTTTTTTGTGTTAACTTTTTATTTAATAAGTGAGTATATTCAATCATATTCCAGAAGACAATCTGTTATGTTACATTGCTTAAATGGAGAGAAAGAGAGAGTTTTATAGTAACAAAGCTTTCGTCTTCATCTTTTTATTATTCAACCTGTATAGCCTATGTCACCCGGGGATAGTGTAGCTTCCTAACAGTAGAATAATTTTTATAATTGCTTCAGTAATTTTGGAGCCTATTCAATGCAAATAATCAAATCCTCCGTCTTTATAATATTAGTTTAGCTATGATTTAAAATACAGCATTTTAATTTGGTAGTAATTTTTGCAAATTTAAATTTGTTGTCGAACAAGAAAATTAATGTTGTTACATCTACTAATATACGTATTTCTTAATGTAAAGTCTTTTTTTCAAGAATAAACACGTATCAAGATAATTATTCATACGTTACCAGGAATCTAGTAGCCCTGGACGTGGATTCATCAGACAACTTGACAGACGAGGCGCTGCACCGCTTCCTGTCACGCCACGGCAGCCAGCTGTGGGGTCTGGTGCTGAGCGGCATGCCTCACATCACCGACCAGCTCTGGCAGAGTGTGCTACAGCTGCTCACCAACGCGAAGTATGTATTAGCCTAAGGCGGTGCGAGAAAAGAGAAGACAGAGATCACTATGAATGCCACGAAAGAGCGCGAGTGACTGTCTTGCGTCGTCTTTTGTTTGGTGATGCCGAAAATGGTAAAATATCGTTCACATATGATAAAAGATGAATGAACATTGGTAGAGCACGCTTTAACATCTTCGCACGAATTGTCGACCATAAGTAGTCAAACTGAGTCCTTCTTCCACCAATCCTTTAATTTAGTTTGTTATTTTTACAGAATTCTTATAATGGGAACCCAAGAGAGACTTGGTGTTAATATCCATGTTGATCAGGTAAGAATATCTTACTACTTATCTCATGTGATTAACAAAAGGTCTAATGACATTATGGCTATAGTTGACTCTAAAATTTACTTTCATTAAGATACGAACAAAGATCGCCATAATAGACCTTTTTCATTATTAAGAGTATGGAATAATCTAGAATGTTTTTCCAACAGTTAATGGATGGCATCGCAAATAGCTGTCCTAACTTGGAACGCTTGGAGCTGCGCTGGGACCCTGAGAACTTGCGTTTCAGTGACAAGAGTCAAAAGGCCATTGATATCTTGCGAGTCAAATGTCTCAAACTAAAATGCCTTGTCTTAAGGTAAAGACGAGTCACTTAATTACCACTAGGACTTTTTGAAATGAGATTCGTACGTCCGTAGTAGTCTGAGGGTCTATCACCAATATTTCGACAAAGTATTCGTAACGACATGGACAAGAATTATATGAGATTTGTTGGTGTACTTTACGCCCGGTAGGGGCAGTTAACAAATTCTAACCTTCCCACGAATATTCATGCTAGACATCCTGATTGTTGCATATTCTAAGCGCCTGTCCACTTAGTGACTTCGTGCGACTGCTCATGGTGGTCGTAAGTCATTTTCACTGATGTTACCGCGAATGCTATACAAAATTACGTGCAGCCTGTGGCTTAGTGGAAACAGGCAGTTAAAAGTTATTCAATAAGACGCTTTTATGTTTACCTCCTTTTGAGACTTTGTATGGTAAAGCTTCATCAGCACAAAGTTTTCCTGTTAGAAAATATAATTAAAGAATTGTAAGGGAAGAATAAAGCGTCGGTGACTCAGTGGCTAAGCACTTGACTTGCAATCTGCAATTCCTGGGTTCGAATCCCGCAATGTACAGTCAGCGTCATATAGATCGTCACAGACAAGATATGCAAATATATAGGTACACCAAAAGTATTCAATTATATCGGTACAACAAAAGTCCTCAAAATAATAGATACATTCACCCTGCTCA